CCCCCCCCGGCACCAGGGTGGCTCTCTATTCAAATTAACCCTCTCGGAAAGAAGAGAGAAGAAAAAAAGAAGCGAGCCGCGGAAGGGTTAGGAAATTAGAATAGGGCCGGTTTTCTTTTTTCGATAGGCCCTCGCGCATATGCGGCATGACTAGGTTAATTCCTGCCGGCCATACGGCGTTTTTGGTTAATCAGTTTTTTTTCTCCTCTTCCTCTCATACTCGGTCCCCCCTTACCCTCCGATATCGCCAACGTTACAAGCACCCTGATTCCGTCGCTGCCCACCGATATTGGGTAGTTACTTGCTATAGGGTACTTATAACAGGGAGCCAATCTCCTTACGCCTAGATGGCGACTTTCGCAGCACGCGTGCCACTGTCTTTCAAACATCACGTATCCCCTTTTCTCGTTGACTATGCAAAACGATAGACTCACCCTGGACTCGGTAATGGCGAACCCTTTCTGACACAACCATTCGTGTGCGTGGCAGATGCGTGTGGGTAACTAGAGAAAACTTGTTAGTTTCGAAAAGTTGGGGACGTCGATGTTTGGTACACGGTCGTACACGTATGTGTATAGGTAGGTATACACACGGTAAATACTGTATAGCCTGTGGAGCATTGAAGTATATAGGTATAGCACTGTATGTCTTATGTAGTATTATATGAATATGGGCTGTTGGATATGAGTGAGTATAGTATATAAACAGATTGAAAGAGTCTATCGAGCGTGTGTTGTATATACACATGTGTGTGCACTCTCGTCATGTTTCCGATGCATGTTCCGCGAATGTTCTAAATTTAACGATAGCCTAATAAGCTTAGGCGGTTTTGTTCTGACGGGAGCCGTGTGATTTTCGGTTGTTCGGCGGGTGAATATCGGACGATTTTCAAATTTGATTTCGAACGTTTGGCATTTATATCTGGGTCAAGTTTGCTCGTGACGAGTTTCAGTGACTTTGGGAACTCGTTGGAGACAGCGAGGGACGGCAGGAAGAGGGGTTGACTGGAGTTTTAAAAAAGCGAAGGGATACAGGTAGACTGAATAATTGAAATCCAGAAATATCTTGAATCCGTCACTGCGCTTTAGCGCGACGTCTTTTTTCTTTACTTCTTCGTCCGGGAAAACGAGACGGTGTGCGATGTCCTCGCGGAAAGTCGACGAGAACGACGACGACGACGGTTTCCACTTTGTTTAATCTTTAATTCCGCGCCATTTGCGATAAAGACGCCAAAAAGGCGAAACACGGTCCAAAGGCGGTAGTCGTTAGCATTTTGCTTTGATTTTTCTCGGCCAAGCAGCCCCGGCGTTCTCTTGCGCGTATTCTTAACCGGGTGAAATTAGCGAATTAAAAGAGACGGAGGGTCGAGCGGGGTAGCGAAACCCGCGAGGCCGCCGGTTTGCTCGTAGCGACGATTGAAATACGAAAAGGAAGAATAAAAAGTAAATTAGAGGAAGTAAAGAGAGAGAGAGAGAGAGAAAAGGCATAGAGAACCAACGAGTGGAAGCAAGATGAAACCACGTGCTGGTTACACTCGCACATAGGTTAACGTTATGGTGTTCGTCCAGGGAAACCGAAAGTCGCTCGTTTCTCTCGCGGCGACTCATAAATACGGATAGTCGCGAAAGACGTCTACGACCACCCTTTACGTTATACACAGTGCAAGCCCCTAACGTGATACTCAAACAGAACCCCCCCTATCCGGCCCTGCAACCACCCTTACTACGGCAGGGTAGGTACTTAATTTTTATTCATGCACCGACGAAACGGCAATTTTTCTCAGTATTAACTAGGCTTTAAAATTGTCCGGTCAATTTCGCAGCGGGAACGTGATGCTTTTTTAAAGCGGCTACCGCGAAAGGGGTTGTCGTCGCGGGTTTCGTCGTTGCCGAAAAAATGGGGTAGGCGTGAGAAAAGTTATTGTCTGCCACGATTTTTTCGTTATACATATATTTTTACCTTGTCCCCATCGGCTTTGCTTTTTGATACAGGAAATATTTATCGCGTTCTCTAACGCCATCTCGTTCCCCTCAGCGAGCAACGGCAATTCTCGATTTTCCACTCGAACACGCGATGTCTGCCCTGTATTAGATTTTAGGTGGAAATTGAATTTTGCGACGCGGTTTCGAGCGCTCTAATCTTCTCGTGGGTGGCCCATGGCCGGCATCGCCAATCGGCCGCACTCGCTCGTGGCGCCGTGCGTAACTTCGTCGGGCGCATTATTGAGCGATCGGACAATCGAAAAATTGGCGGGCTTTTTCCGCGTCACCCGATTGGTGGGGGTAGACGAGCTCCGATTGGTCCGGCAGATTTGAAGCCGGCTGCATGGTGGGGACACAACAACCCGGTACCAGCGAATTCCTCTAGATCTCAGCTATTGACCGGCTATTGATATTGTGCATTCGACGACTACAATATTCGCGTGCTTTTACTAATTTCACCTGGTTCAATTACATACGAGACAAAAATACGGATCAATGGGGAAACGTCAATGGAGTTGAAAGATTAAAACTTTCGGACGAATATAATAATATTTGCAAACTTTTACTACGAATTTCAGTCTCGTCCTTTCTGTCGGTTATATGTCGTTACCATTGTTATTATTCCTATTGCCATTACTCTCTGCACTATATACATTTATTACATCATCAATGAATTTACTGCAGAGCAGTCTGGTTTCGCGCGTAACGTTTCACATGTGCCAAAGGAAAGAAAAAAAAATCCTACCGTGCAACAGTCACCAGATTAATTCGCAATGATTATCGATCGGTCGACGGCAAATTCGCTGATTTAATAAACACGACAATGTAATTCAGCTAGAAACTACCCTCCATGCTATTAGTACTATTAAAACCTCTCGAATGCGCATTCCCACGAATCGCACGTAAATTTTGACATTCCGATATCCCATCGAATTCGTGGATTTTTCTAACGTTTTGATTATCGCATAAACTGTACTCGATAGACCACATCGCACATATATTTTCACCGTAACTCTACTCTTGCCAATCACTCTGAGCACTTTCGATTCTCCCTTGCGTAATATGAATAAACATTTACCATTACATCGACAAGAAACAATGCAACGAGCCGATTAATGACAGCGCGAATAAGAAAGCCATTCGCTTGCCAAAAAGTATGGAAGAAAAGCATTTAAAATCTGACGTCGTATCGTCGAACAAAGTGCAAGAGAAAAAGTATAATACGTATAACTAACATAAAAATGTACCTATAAGATATTCGTATATACATATACACGTATGTATACATAAAGTCCATATATGCGTGTACAATAAGAACATTGGAACTGGCTATAGTAGTCTCGTGGTTATTAATGTAAGGGGTGGTTGAGCAGTAGTTATTTGAGTTTCGTGGGGTGAGAGAGACACCGCGGCAATGGAAGAGGGAAGGAATGGGGTAGATGGTCTTAAAATCAATGCGAACCCTTCTTTTATCGCGATTCGTAAGCTCAGAAAAGAAAAAGCAGTCACGAAACGGAAGGTTAACTTAAACCTAAGCCAGCACAGTCCCGGTCAAGAAACTGTCGTACGATCGGCAAAACGCCAAACCCCCTACAGGACCTCTTGCAGATAAAGTCAAAAAGTGGGCTAATGAAAAATTTTTTTCCTTATCCATCCTCCCCCCCGCCCTAAAAAGAATCTTCGAAGTTTTCTATACGCACGACTGTCCACGACTACATAAACTTCGGATATCTCGGTGATCGAATAACCGACATTCCGATCGCCTTAGGTCTTTGTTTTCTTTTTTTATTCCACTCGACGAAGGATACCCCCAAAGTAAATTTTAATTCGGGCTCGGCCCCGATTTTTCTAAGGGATGATTTCAGCAATGTTACCCATTGCCGAAAGGGAGGAGGGGATAGAGAGAATGAGAATACTGACCGTTCCCCGATAGGCTAATACCTTCCGAGTGACTACCTTCATCCCTTAATGAAATTCTTTCGTGCCCGACGGCTGACGGCCATCCGGGGTAGTCTAAACGGGGTGGTTTTTGCCTCCCTTTCTCGGACTTCTCCGCCACTTACTTTCGCTTTACTTTTACACCGATCCCTCCCTCACCCCCATACCTCCCGCGCATCCCTTATATTTTTATTGAAAAAAGATCTCGTACCACGGCCCATACATAATCAAGGAATTTCGGTATACTTTGAAATCACTATGGATCCCGAGGCACATATGGCGTGCATGAGAAATAATAATAATAATAATAAGAGCTAACAAGAACAGTATGAATAATTAATGTTATAACTCACCCGTATGTAGCCTGGTGTGTTGCTGAACATGGCTGAGCTGCTTGAACCTCCTGTCGCAGTAACTGCACTTGTAAGGCTTCTCGCCGGTATGGACCCTGATATGCTGAACCAGCTGATGATTGCTGGAGAAGGACTTGAGGCATTGCTGGCACTGGTGTGGCTTGATTTCGTTCCCGGATATCATACCGCCAGGACCGACGCCGACCCCGACGCCGACCCCCAGGCCTGCCAATCCTCCGGCGACTCCACCACCGGGACGTCCGGTCAGCGCCCCGGCGCCCAGCTCCCTCGCGTGCATCTGGATCGCGCTCTTGTGCATGAAGATCTGCGTGAAGAACTGCCGGGGTTAGTTGGTACGCTGAACTCTTCGCCGAGCAACGGGGGATGGGAGATTGCACTTTGCCGTCGGCCATCACTTCTACGCCCGTTTGAACGGTGCATCCTTTTGCTTGGATTTGCTTTGGATTAGATCGGCCAATGATTCGAATTAAATGACTTTATTATTTGGCTATTGATTATTTTGCTTTTTTTTCATTTGTATCAGAGCTTGACCCGAATTTTGACGTCGGAAGTGAAATTGGGACTGACGAGCGAAAAATGGGACTTATTTCGAATCGGTATGTCAGATCCACTGGATACAACGATAGAGAGATATTAAAATGAGATTTATCCACGGGCCGCTCTTACGGTCCCAGTGCGCGAGTGGGACTAACGTAAGAGTGGATCGGAAGGGACTGTTGGCCTGGTATAAGGCCCCTGAATAAAAAGAAGTTAGAATTCGGTTGAACAGGTGTTACGAGTACCGGCAGGAGGGTGTGGGCGTGAGTGTGGGTGTGAGGTAGGTGAACGATCCTGAAACGAACAGAAAGGGTTAACGTTAAGGCGGGGGGGAGGGAGGGGGGGATATATACCGTCCAGGAGAAAAGTAAAGGGTTGGATTGGGAGCGCCGGCTGGGCTTCGAATTAAAAGAAAAGCGAGAGGAAGGACGGGAAGAGATGGAGGAGAGGGAAGGGGAGGACGACGTTCCGAGAGAAAGCTAGATTCTCGAGTGGATGGATTTTATTAAAATATGTTAAAACTGTAATTAAAATCGAAAAATCTCGTGAGAAGTTTTAAGAATCTTAGGTTGCCCCTTTTTCTCTTTCTTGCTCTCTCGCGCCCCCTCGGCGATCCCCGTACCTCGCTCTCTCGCGCATTTTCACTCTCTCCCTTGTTTTTCGATCCTTCTCTCAGGACCAGAAAAGCGAAGAAAAGTGGGAATTGAAATTGTCAGCGAGGTATAGATATAGGTATGGCTCTCGCTCTTTTGCTTTTTCTTTCATTCTCTTTCGTTTACTGGTTCTTCAAGTTTCTCGCGATTCACCAGAAATTTTCAAACCCCGAATCCTTTCGCGAGCATCACCCTGTCATTTTTCTTTTTTTTTCCGGAGGACTGGGGAGGTATGACGGCCGGGTGAGAGAAAGATAGAAAGACGAAGTGAATGGGGGTGCGAGTGAGAGGGAGCAAGAGAGCGTAAAGGGTATCGCGATCGACACTGGGTATTCCTGTCTCCTAATCCCCGTGAGACGTCGCCCATCTTCTCCTCGCAGCAACCCTTCTTTTTTCCACCCTCTTACGTATTCTTCCATCATTTCTACCTTTCACCTTCTCAGCCTCGTATTCCTCCTCCGTCGTCTCTCATTTCTCCAGGACTTCGTCCTGGGACGAATCTCGCTTTTTCAAACCCTCCCAAACCACCGGATAGAAGCAGAACGATCGGACTCGGAGATTTTCGCAATTTGTCCATAAGAATTTTTCATCCCTCACAGACCATCCCCCCCGCGTCCCGTCGCACTTTCACGATGATTAACCGGGAGAGCCCGGGAGGCCCAGTCCCGGGGGGTGGTGACAAACGATTTTGACGCGTGAAAGTTGAAGTTGCGAATTTTTAATGGCACCCCGGGACGATTTTATCTCGAACGACCGTCTGGAGTACTTCTTCGAATTATCCGGATTTTTTAATCTTTAACTCCTCGTTCACGCTCCTTCGGACAGCTCGAGGTCAACAAGTTGACCTCGTCTAGTAGAAACGACCAATGCCTACTGCACACTTCGCAACGTGCAAGATATTTTTCTAGATTCCAAGACTACACCTCCGCCGTTCCCAAGACTGAATTCAACCCTTTCTCACCGTAGGAATCAGCGCGACAGATGTCCCGCTTAAGAAAGTACGCAGGAGGTGGCTACCACGCTAAAATCGGGCCATCTTAAATTCCACGGGTATCCATTAATCAAATTTTTATCTCCGGGCAGACGTAAAATTGCGGTCGTCGGGAAATCTTTTTTTCCTGATTTATCATTGCGACCAAAAAAAAAAGGACGAGGAAAATGGAAAGAGTCGCAAGGAGCGCTCGTCCCCGGCTTAATGTCCTTTAATAATGGAAAAATATATCAAACTGCCCCGCGGAGTGTATTTCCTAAAAAGGATCCAGCAAGCTCACCCTCTACCCTTATTGCCATAAGCTACCAACGCAGTTTTGCTTTTGTATTCGAAATGTGTATAAAGTAGCAATGGCCATCCCGCGGGCTACTTAGAACGAGAGAATGAAAGGGAAGGGTGTACGTCGTGAAATGCTAACGATCCCTTCGGGTACGATTACGCGGCCGAGGATGGGGGACGCCACCCCGAAACCGCCTGCCGAGAAAACGAAACGAATGGAAAGGAAGTGAAAGGAAGCTAGAAGGGCCAAGAAAAGGGATCCGTAACTAAGGATATACAATATGTATATGTCTGATCGTAGTAGGGACTTTAAGTTTGGTACCTGTAGGTGTATGTATATATATATATATATATATATATATATATATATATATATATATATATGTACAACCCATTCTCGCTTTACCTACTTGAAGTCGTCTTAATGCCCTCGGATTTTTCAAATGGAAATATCGTCTTTGCACTTTCATCTTTAGGCAGACTGCCAAGCTGCAGGCAGGCTAACCATCCACCAATATATATATATATATATATATATATATATATACATACACCTACAGGTACCAAACTTAAAGTCCCTACTACGATCAGACATATACATATTGTATATCCTTAGTTACGGATCCCTTTTCTTGGCCCTTCTAGCTTCCTTTCACTTCCTTTCCATTCGTTTCGTTTTCTCGGCAGGCGGTTTCGGGGTGGCGTCCCCCATCCTCGGCCGCGTAATCGTACCCGAAGGGATCGTTAGCATTTCACGACGTACACCCTTCCCTTTCATTCTCTCGTTCTAAGTAGCCCGCGGGATGGCCATTGCTACTTTATACACATTTCGAATACAAAAGCAAAGGTTTCACCTGCTGGCCATATGCCCTTCTTCAATGCTTCGCTTTAACGTAACATACTAAGATACTCGGCTACGTCCACCCACGCACATCGGCTATGCCGGGCACTTCGCATATGTTCACTACATCCTTCTCTTCCTGTACCTCCTTAACCTCCGATATTACCTACGTATATTGTCCGTATCCACCTACCACCGAACCTACCTATATGCACCTATCTTCCTGTCTATTCCACCTACGTATCTGATCATTCGACCTACTCGCGAGTCCATGCTTAGTAAGCATAGTCGTTATGGACTGTTCCGAAGTTGGTAGGTATACACTGTATAGATACGACTGAATGAATGAATGACAACTTCAGGTCTAAGAAAGGGGGATGTTTACGAAAGTGTAGGCACAGGTGTTTCGTATTGAAATTAAATTCGTATAGGATTAGATGGTTGTATATTGAATGATTCAATTTTTATCCAGCTAATTAATGACAATCAGTATGAATCTGATTGCGTATGTGAATATTTCACGTGATAGGGCTAATGCTACAGGTACGATTTGAATTCTAAACGTTGATTAGGCACAACTTGATTGAATTAATGAACCGATTGAAATTATTGAAATTTATAAAAGCTTTATGCTCTACAAAGGGTTTGTCAGTATTTTCAACAAATTTTGGTTTTTGATATCAGAGGAGCGACAAGGTGTAAAAAAAGTAGGAAAAGGGATTTTATGGAGATGAGGTTACAGCATCTGCCCCTAATATCGACGATAATTACCTGGGGCGGAAAATGATGAGGATGCTGATACGCCGGGGGTACATACGCATGGCTCGGATGAGTATGGGGAGAAGGATGGTGAGATCGGGGATGGTTTTGGTGATGCTGTGTCTGGACCCCCGGTGGCATCGATGGTGGCGGTGAACTCCAATGCCCATGGCTCTCGGTAGTCCCGTACATTCTCACGTGAGATCCACTATCCAATCATTACGCTATCGTTGAGAAATCTCATAGGAGAAATATTGAAAAACACTGATAGGACGTCGCGTTATCAAAGCCGAAGATGTGACAGGACACGATTAGCCTGATAGCGAGTGATAAGAAGAGAAAAAAAGAAAACATCAATGGAAACGGATATTCTTCGGATCCCCTAAGTGTTCAATATAAGAAAATTCATTTTGGTCCATACAGGCAGCATCCAGCATGACTTTACACGCAATAAATAATGTCGAGCTTGCTCGAGATTGCGTAACAAAAATAGGAGTATATCGTTGCATAAGAACGTGGCCACGCACTCGTGAACAAAGTCCTCTTTCAAAAATAACACACGAGTCGAGACTCTCTTGTCTAATGAATCTGACTTTTTTTTTCACCCGCAGCCAATATATGGATAACTCATTTTCAGCCGTCTTCGACCATAGCGGGCAAAGGATCTATTTTGCTCGTGATATATTTCTTCGTTCGATCAATCGCGAGTGGCCGTTTTATATCTCGTCTCCCTGTCTGCGGGGATGCCATTTGGTTTCTTCAAAGGCGTTATCGCGTATCGCGTCACCCACATCACTATTTTTCGGTACGGTGTTATCGCCGGCGAGTACGTCGAGAACGACTACGATACAGGAGAGGAACGCGATCGCGATCTGATTTCTTTTTTGATCTTTTTTTTCCCTTCTTTTTTACAATCCGTCTCGCATATACAAGGAAATATATTTTCGCGTTTAATTCTTTTAATTTCCGGGTTTCTTTTTATTGTCTTTTTTAATTTCTTTGTCTCCTTTCGTATCCGAAGGTCGCAGTTTTATAAGCGTTCGCGGCTCACGACGATCCCACAAGCGCAGCGACGTGCGCCGTGTGGCGTCGCTAACTAAAAGGGGACGATTTCTTGCGCGCCGCAGCGCGAAAATGAAAAAATTCTAGCGCACCCGAGAGATAACGCTAGAGAAAAATTCTAGCGCTTTGCGATATCGATTGAAATAACATCGTTCTTCTGGATCTAGCCAATCGGACCGGTTGGATCCTGGGGA